CCGGCCCGGCTCGGCCCGGCCCGGCCGGATGGACGCGGATGGCGCGGATCCCGCCCCGCACTCACATCCTCGGCGCCACCGTCGCTCCGCGCCCGTCGCAGGAGATTGACGCAAGCAGGCGGGAAGGGGCAGCGTCGGCACGTGGTGATGGCGTCATAGCGGGGGGGCAGGACGGGTGGAAGGGCTTAAAGCGAACAGGAGCGGGGTGAAGGAAGGGTGCAGCTACACTATGAGTGGTGAAATAAAAGTTCCTACAAACCCTGTCCTGCATAATAATATTAATGATAATAGCATCTGGGACTTCAGCTCTGGATTTTAAGAGCTTGACAACCTAGCAGGCTGCAACCGCCACACTTGAATTCTGGGCCCACCCTGTCACAGATGCAGGTTGCAGATTCACAGTACACAGATTCTGATTTGAGGCGGTGGTGGGTATAGGGACGGCACTATTGTGAGGGAATTTGCCCTCTCAACTGCAAGAAAATTGGGAAGAGGAGAATGAAAGACTTAAGATTGAGCACTATTCAGTGGTATTTCATGTAATGTGGGAAGGATATCCTCTCTCTCCCTGCCAAATGTGTTTGCTGTGAACTTAAAAGGAAATTTGCCACTGCAGGCACTGATCTTTTGACCTGACCACATTGGCTGCCTGACTTTGACTTCAGAGGAACAAAGTCAGAAGTGTATTTTGACCCCATCCCTAATGCAGGACATTAAGTGTCTCTCTGAGACAAAAAAAAGAGTTCTTTCTGAGAAGCAGGTGTGCTGATCTACTGAAATGTATGGCCACAGGCACATCTGTTAAATTCCTAATGATGGAAGCTTCACCTCTTGAATGCAGTGCGAGGATATGTCCCATCTACCTCCATCAAGGATATGAGCAAGACCAGGGAAGGTGTCTGAAAACCCATGTGTGGCAAGAAGGAAAACAGGCTTATATTCTGTTCTGCTGCAAAACCAAGGGGTATTGCATAAAACCTGCCATGGAACAGGTTCAGAAAACAAAGAAAACCCCAAAGCAAGCAAAAAGGAAGATGTTCTTCACACAACATCTTGTTAAAGGGCAGATTTCCCTCACAGGCTATCTATGGACATGATTTTCTGAGCCTGAGAGAGTTTCAGCCTGTCAGGGGCTCATCTGCTTCCCAGGGGAAAAGTTCCCAGGAAGAGTTTTCTCTCAAGGATTGTTTTATTGTAAATAGATTACATTTCTCAAAACAATACTGAACAGATGTTCTTGGTGTGTTTTCTCTGGTTCCACCAATAGGACTAAAAGTGGGTGTTGGTTTATTGTCCAATCATGTAACTTGGATCGAAACACCTTATAAAAGGGGTTAAAAACCCCTGAAAAAAAAGGCTTCCTTGCCTCATGAACAAGTGGCTGTGTGTCTGATTGTCTGGGGAACCCTCAATACTTTGTGTCCTTCAGTGACAGCTATCTTGTAGTCTACTGAAATTTCACATGGGTTCAATGAGAAACTATTATTATGTCCCATGGCATTATGTCAAATGAGGACTATTAGTAGACTGTCATGATGAGCTTAGAATCATGGAATCATTTAGGTTGGAAAAGCCTTCTACGATCATTGAGTCTAATTCCAATGCTATCCCCACAGCACTGCCAAGGCCACCACTAAACCATGTCCCTAGGTGCCACATCTACATATTTTTTTGAACACTTCCAGAGATGGCAATTCTACCACTGTCCTGGGCAGCCTCTTCTAATGCCTGACTACCCGTTCTGCAAGGAGTATTTCCCTAATACACAAACAAAACCATCCCTGGTGAAACTTGAGGCCATTTCCTCTTACCTTGTCCTTTATTCCCGGGGAGGAGAGCCCAACGCCCACCTGTCTGCACCCACAGTGTTTATTTTTTTCTCTCTCAGTTATGGCAACGACATAAAGGCTAACTGATCCCAAAGTCCCCTGCACACCCTTATTCTCATAACACAATAATCATCTCTCCAGGGGTGGGCAGGTAAGGTCACTGAACCAGCAGAAAAATAATAGTACTGTGAAAAACGTTTCCTGCCAGCTGTTAGCCGAAGCAGGTCTTGCAGAGCTGTGAGCCGCAGGGCCAGCCCCGGGGCAGCGTGTGCGGGGTCTGATCCGCTTCCAGGGGCTGCCAGCAGCTGGCAGGACTGAGCCTTTAAAGCCAAGCCTGAACGAGGAGAGACACTGGAACATCTCAGGGGCACTAGCACAGATGAGAACAGCTCAAAGCACGTGTTTGCTTCAGTTTCAGAGAGAATGGCTCCGCTGTGGCCTCTGCCCCTTACCGGCAACCCGGCTGGCACACTGCAGCCACCAGCCCCACGCAGGGATGGAGCTGGTGCTTCCAGGGCTGGAAGAGACCTCTAGGGATGGCAACGCTGCATTCTGTGAGGTTTCTCTGGCACGGGTGTGACCAGCCACGCCTGGGCTGTGCTCCGGGACGGGACAGACGAGTCTGTGCCCTAAGGTGACGCGGTTCCTGGCGGCCCTGCAGCGCGGCTGCCCCGAAAGGGTTACGGGAAGCGCTCCGCCCTCCCCGTACATTGGTGTCCTCTTGGGTGACCTTCCCGGCAGCCCTTGCTGGCTCTGCCCCAACCAAACAAAGACGGCAGGAGGTTTTCAAACAGCCGGTTCCCTGAAAGTTGGCTGCAGGAGAGCCGGGCTGTGCTGGCACCTGCCTGGTCCCGGCCACTGGAGAACGTGGCAGCGAGTTGGTGCCGTCGTCTGAGAGGACCCCAGTAGCCGTCGGGAGTCCCTGTACGTGGGTGCTCTGCCCATTTGCTTCTGTGCATTGAGCTGGTTTGGGTGCTGGGAGTGGCGAGGGGAAGGATGAGAGGAACTCCTGGCAGTGGTGCGAGCACAGGAGGGGGCAGCAGGACAGGATTCCGGCGCCCGCGCCGTGCGGAGCCTGGTGCGGTGCTGAGGTTCAGTGTCGGAGCTGGGAGTGGCAGGCCCGATCTGAAGTGCTGTCCTCCAACCATTTCTTGAACTCAGAAGCCTCACTAGCAATCTTCCAGCCAAGTGCAGGTTCCTTTAGATACTGCCCATAAGTTGCTGGACGAGCAGGAAATGAAATAACAGAGCTGTGTGAGTGTTTGGCTCTTACTTCAGTGTTTTTCTCTCCCTTCCCTCCTGCACTCTCAGGCTGCTGCTGAAGACAGGCTATTTACAGCCACCTCTGCCGGTGAACTGCTCTGCTCCGGTGCCAGTGGGGTTGGGGCTAATTGTATCTAAACTCTCCCGGAGGCTGAGTGCGCTTGTCCCGTTTGGTGCACCGACTTGCAATTGGTGTTTTATTTGTCCTTCCTATTCATTGGCTTTGCGTTGTGGTGGCGACTACAGAGCTCTCCTTGAGGCCCCGGGGGTCCAGGTGATCAGTGGGTCACTACCCACAGCAACACTGCCATTCCTTTATCATGGTGAGGTGTGAGTGCCCTCTACCAGGCATTGCTTAGCATTTATGGGGATTGCACTGCAGCACTGGCTTAGCCCACAGCCTCTGGATGCTGGTGTTTTCCCTTTGCTGGAAGATCTTTGATCTGCCTCCCTGTTCAGTCTGTCACTCCTGCACCTCTGTGAGAGTAGAGGTAGATGTATGTCTGGCTTCAGAGGGCACAGTCTGTGTGGTTTCCTTAGAGGAATTGCAGGGTGGGACATTTGTCTTCTGAGGACTTGGAAACTTTTCATCCAAATGTGTAGAAAGAGCCTTGGTTGTCATTGCAGGGAGTTGAGAGAGTTTCTAATGGCTGCACTGTTAAGTAGCTATATAGATTTGGAACAAAATTAGGAAATTTTGGGAGTTCCTCTCTAATCTGCAGAAGGGTGTGAATTTAGGAATTTAGCTGAAATACTTATAGGCCTATGAAATCATTTGCCACAGTTTCTGAATATCTGGCCCTCTCTCTCGGTCTAAGTCTATTCTTGCAGCACACTCTGGTAGCTACACCGTGAACAGGTTTAGTACTTCATTACTGACTGCCCCTGGACATGAGAGTGCATACATTTGGTGTATTTTGGGTCTTTTAGCTTAAAAACTGTGCCATGATGCTGGTTTTCCTGCAACACTCTTATGCTCCGATGCTGTAGGAATATACCTGCTCAATGCTAAGCTTAGTCAAACATCCTGGTTTTACCACAATGAATAAATACCAGGTTACACTTTGCAGTGATTTATTTGTTTCCTCTTCAGGCATGTGAAAGACTGGAAATTCGAGGTGTGTTTGTGGTATAGCCAGTGCAGCTCTCTCTGCTGGAATGGCTGTATCTCTGGAGAGCAGTGACTCAAAGTGCATAATGCTTTACAGAGAGGCACAGGTAAAGGCAGGGCAGTGAGATACTTGGCATTTAGTATTCTTGTCTGAACCTTGATTGATTTGTTCAGTGTTGAGGGCAGAGATAGATTTTGGAGCCAGGATGTGAAATCTAGTCTGCTCCTCTTCCACAGGCCTTCCCAGGTGCTCTGTGAAAGCATCTTGTTCCTTCATGCTGTGGTTCCACAGTTCTTGATATCATGTTTGGGTGCTCCAAATAATTTCTTAATACATACCTGACCTTTACCAGACACAGCATCGCAACAATGCTGAGTTTGTCAGACCAGGTAGTAAAATGTTGAGGGTGACCTCTGGGTTTTGGACTGTGGGAGAGTCAATCCAGTGCAAAGCCTTTTTTTTCAAGGCTATCAGTGTGATTTTATACAGTGTCTCTGCTCTGTGGTGTGTGGCCTCTGACCCTTTCACCATTAGGGAGGATTTTCCAGTGTTCCTGATACTGTTCCCTTTCTCTCTTCAAACATGAGGTAACAATACTAAAAACACTAACAGTGTTGTTAGCCTGTGCCGCCTAAACATCCCAACACACTCCTCTTTATCTTCCCACCATATCTCTATACCTCTATTCCCCAATGAGCTCCAGGCTGTAGTGGCATTGTCGGAGGCAAGAGCAAACTATGTGTATCACTGTACTCACGATTTTTTTTGCAACCCCCAAAATTGTTAAAGAAACCTTGTGGAAATCCAACTTTCTTCAATGTTCATGTTCTGCAAATCTTAAAGTATAACCATAAATTTTTGTGTTTTCCATGTGAAGATCTGATTTTTAAAGTGTGGCCAGGCAGGGGTAGCTCCTCAACTGCTCTCAAAGCACAGCCTAAATGAATGAAGCAGTTGTCAGAGCAGGTGATAGAGCTGTGGGCTCTAAACAGTTCACTTCAAGTCCTGGGCCAGACACATAAGCTTTTCTCTGCCATTCTGATGTCTGAAGTACAGCTTGATCAAAATCTTCTGAGGTTATCCCTTCAGAGGGGAGCAGCTCAGGTAGCAGCAGCACCATCTAAATTTATCTGAGCCATCACCTTTTGATAAAACCTGTAACAGAGCTGCTCCTTCACCAGTTTTACAAAGAAAGGGCTGTGTAGGGTGGGATGCAGCCTTACTACACTCAGCACTGTTAGATAATATTATGGCTTCCATAAGGCTTCTAAAATCCCACAGAACAGTGGCACTGAGTAAAATTGCAACCTAGGAGAAGTGACTATTTTTCCCTGGCCCAGATCTTCCTGCTTTGACAACATTTCAGCATTGGACATCTAATACTGTTCATCTTCCAAGCAAAATTCGACTGAACCACCTTGGCTAGATCATTGCCATTCTTAGGGCTGTCCTGTGTGGGGCCAGGAGCTAAACTCAGTGGTCCTTGTGGGTGCCTTCCAACTCAAGTTATTCTGTGATTCTGAGAGCCCTTTCTGATTACTGGTCTCCACAGAGCTAAGACTTCCCAGTCTGTCCCTACATCAGTGAAACTGTTCTCTGTATGAATAGCCAAGAACTATCCATGTCCCTTCCAAGCTGTGCCAGGCAGGCTCTGGAAGAGGACCCAGAGGGCAGGAAGCTCAGTGGAGCATTGTCTTGCCCATGGACACATGGCTGTTCGGAGCACAGTTCTCTGCAGGGTGAGGATCTGGGCATTCCTAGCAGACTCACTCCTTCCACAATTCCTTTGCTCTACTTGATATACTTCTTGCTGTTTGAATCCATATCTGAATCCCATGTAAGCCAGCACTGTCTTCCCTGTGCTTCTGGGAGATGTTTTTAATAATTTTTTTCCCTTCCAAGAGGATGCAGAGTGAAAAAGGACTTGTCTTGCCAGGTTTTGCAGCAGCACCTGCTCAGAACACTGTGGGAAAGCAACGAAATAAACAAGATGGATGAGTGTCCCTCCCCAGCTGCTTGCAGCTGCTCCAGCTTCCCAGGGTGCGCTCTGGGTATCTGAGAAGGAGGTCTGGAAATCAGACACAAAGGAAAGTGTGGGCAGAACCTTGTTAAGCTAATCACGAGGCCCAGATCTGAGAGATTTGGCTTGTGTCTTCTTACAAGGTCCATGAAGATCAATCCCCTTTTGGCAACACTGAATCCATTGTGAATGAGGTAGACTGTTTCCCATGCCCTAGTATACCGGCATTGCACTGTACAAGGATAATTTAAAGCAAAGAGACATATCCACATCCAACTTTGTTCTTCATGATCTTACATCTTCCTAGGACAGGAGTGTTTTGCTCTCTCTGCAGTACAGGAAGCCATTGAGCTCAACATGCTTTGGGATGTAAACAACATAAAGTGTCTGTTTTCAATTGCTGAGACCAGACAAAATGAGCTGTATCTTCTTGCTCTGCATCTTCATGCTCCCTGTGGGTTCACAGCTTTTGCTTCTCTCCTTCCTCTCTTTCAATCACATCGGTTCTCAGCATCAGCGATTTGTCTCTCTGGTGAAACCTGTTGCTCCACCTCTGTACCTGGTGCCCCATGACTGTTTTGGTTCTGAAATGGTGGATGGGAGCTTGTTGCTCTGATTAAGACCATCTGTACATAAATGTCTCCATCTCTCCAAGGCTGTTACATCTTGTGGACCAGGCTGGCTATGGGTGTGCTGTGGTGCAGCTGAAACAGCCATTGAAAAAACACAGCCCCAGAGTTGCACAGCTACCTGTGCCATGTCTGTTGAAGGATTAACTCTTCCTTGCTTCACCCCAGCATGAATTCTGGAAGCAGCTTTGCTTGTACCTCCCAAGGACAAAAACTGTGTCCAAGAGCAGCTGTGAGATGAATGGGAGAAATCATTCTTCCCAGACATGAGCCAATTCTGTGGTCACACAACTAATGTTTCACTCTTGGGGAATTTGGCATTCAAAGCCAGGTAATCAGGGCTTCAGAAGAACTGCAAGAGAGACAAGTGGCAGTGGCTGGTGTGGATATTTGTGCAGGCTAGTGAGAGAGCTCTACTCCAAAGACTTGCAGGATGGATGTTGGGGAGGTCCTCTCTCTCAGGTTCACCTCCTGGAGTGGGGGCTTGCACAAGCACAGGAACAAGTTGTGCAGAGGAAGAGCCTGCTTAGCTTAAGGCTAGTGGATACATCACTTGAGTTGTAGGAAACCTGAATTCATGCTCTTCCTCTTTTTTAGACCTTAAATCCACTCTGCTCTGAAAGGAAGTCTGGGGCATGCTGCCTTCTTTCTCCTTTTCTCTTAAGGTTCTTTCATTTTGTATGTAATATTATATGGGCCAGAGAGTATGGGAACTAAGGAAACAACCCTGCTGATGGGAAGGCTGCTACAGGCTCTGGGCTGTGTTTCTGTGGATATAGCTGCCTGCAGAGTTATGGAATAGAGTATTATCAACAGTAATACCGGGGTAAAGGAGCTTCCCCAGCTATAACTACGTACATAAAGACTTCAGGCATTGCAAGCATTCAGCAGCAGCTGAAGAAAAGGTGGCTAATCTGAAATTTGGACAGACACCTACATTGGCAGACTGCAGTAAAATTCCTGTTGCAGGTGTGGTGGTGTAATGAGGCATACATATACAAATGTGTATGTCCAGCTGGCTGTGTAAGCTCTCAAAGCCAGCCTACCAGAGGGAAAAACTTGTAGCCTGTGGTGCTGCATGACATTCCTCTCTGATTGGAACTAAGTAAACTGAGTGTTCCAGTCACCACATCTTCCCCCTGGTATCTCCATCCCACTGTAAAACACAAGGGGTATGTGTGGGGGGAAGACACTTTCAGACCATGAGGAGCCATTGAAGCTTGCATGGGAATAATGTGTGGCTGCAGAATCTGGGTTTGCCAAAGGACTTGCAGCTGTGGCTGGAACACAGTGTGACAGCTGGAGAGGTGGAAGCAACCAGGATTTCAGAACAGGGGATTTTTATTGCCCATACTCAGCTCATGGTAACTGGTCTTTGTATGAAAATGCCAAGCCAACTTTGTGGTGCTGCACTATTTTAGAAATAGCAAAGGTTGAGTCAGTCCAGGTGAGACTGTTTCAGGATTTTCTGAAGGAGATGAGCCCTCTCTGTATTCTTGATGTCTACAGAAAGGGAAAGCGTTAGAGGCAGGGGGTAAGCTCACACAATTGCTGTGAATTTTCTTACACAGATGTTCTCCATTTTCCTATCCTCTTTAAAAACACCACTGGAATTAACTTTTCCCAAGTAGTGTAAGAAACCATTAGAGGAACCATGTCACTCACTGCCTGGCCCTGGAAAGTGAAGGGAACTCCATCAGTCACAGGTCTAGAAAAATCCTTGAATCTTTTCCTCTCATTGAATTGATTTTTGGTTTTCATTGTGCAAAAATTATTTGATGCCTTGAAGGCCAGGTGAATATAAAGCTCTCATCTCTGTGAATGCGTAAGTTGATATGGTATGTGCATAGCATAGGCTGAAGCTCCCTGGGGAAAATACCCTCTGGAGAAGGAGAAAGAGGAGAAGGTGATGGACTCAGTGTGAAAATGGGGAACACATTTAGTACAGGAAAACTGTAACTTTGCAGCAAGACCTAGATAAATAAAGTTATAAGTAGAGATGGAGACAGGCCAGGCTGTTGCAAAGGCTGACTGTGGGATCTTACGACTTGGCCTTCCAGTAGTTGAGGGAGCTTACAAGGAATATGAAGAGGTACTTTTTACAAGGGCATCTAGAGACAGGACAAGGGGAAATGGCTTTAAACTGTCATAAAGTTGGTTTAGATGAGATATTTGGAAGAAAGCCTTCCCTGTGAGGATGGTGAGGCCCTGATACAAGTTGCTTGGAGAAGCTGTTGCTGCCCCTGGAAGTGTTCATGGCCAAGTTGGACAGGGCTTGGATCAACCTGGGATAATGGAAGGTGTCTCTGCCTGTGTCAGGGGAGTGGAACAAGATGAGCTCTAAGGTCCCTTCCCACCCAAAGTTCCTCAAATCCGGAGAGACAATGAGGTGCTGGAGTGAATCCAGAGAATGACAATGAAGCTGAGGAAGGTTCTAGAGGATAAATCTTATGAGAAATTCCGAAAGGAGCTGGGGTTGTTTAGCTTGGAGAAAGTGAGACTCTTACCACTGTCTACAATTACCTAAAAGGCTTCTTTTCCCAGTGAACTAGTAACAGGACAAGGACATAGCCCCTGAGCCAGGGGAGGAGACTGGTTGGACATCAGGAAAAATTACTTAATGGGAAGGGTTGTCAGGCATTGGAATGGGTTGCCCAGGGACATGATGGAGTCACCGTCCCTGGAGGTGTTAAAGAAAAAAATGGATGTGGGTAAGACAGACTTAGTGCCATGGTCTAATTGGCAAGGTGTTGATCAGTCAAAAGTTGCACTCAGAGGTCTTTTCCAGCCTAGCTGATTTCTGTGATCTTGGAGGAAATTGCTGGAATACTATATTTTATGGAATAGACTCATATTGCTTTCACTGGTAACCTTTTGCTGTACCTGACGGGTAAAGTAGCTGTTATGCACTTTGTCTGCCCTCAAGATGTAAGTGAGCAGGATTGGAGCTAGATTTTGACCTGCACTTCTGCCTGCACTTACCTCCTGCATCTCCTGTTCACCTTCTGGATTCTGACCACCAGCCTGCTTTGCAGTGTCTTCTCTGAAATGGCTTTCCAGGTCGTGGTCTACCTCTGATCAGGTATTTTTTTAAAGCCCTGATGCAGAGGCAAGTGCTGTTCTTGAAGGATAAGGAGCCTGGGTGAAGCATTGAGCATTGATGGTATCTCCATGGAGCTGCTCTCTACAGCAATGCCCTGCTGCCCTGAAGCCATCCTGGCCAAACTCCTCATCCTGCTGCCCCTCCAGCAAATGGGGGGGTTCTGGGGGAACACTGTGAATTTGGAATCCTGAGATTATGTGGGGTTAGGGGGGCAGGGATGGTCTGTGCCTCCTGTGAACTTTCCCCAAGTCCAGGAAAGCAGGGCAGGGTGGTGGGACCTCAGCTGAGGGCTGGGGAAGGGCTGAAGGGCATGAGCATGTGATGAAGGAGGGATCTGGGACATGGTGATGGTACACAGAGAGCAACATCTTCAGTGGAGAGGAAGCTGGAGGAGATGCAGTGTGGAGTTGGTGCTTCTCCAAGTCGGTCTTCTCATCTTCCCTGTGGAGGCAGGGTGAAGGTTGCAGCCATGGCTGTTGGCTTTCCTGGCCAATTTATGCAAATTATATGTTTCTGTCACCAGCTGCTCAGGTACTCCAGTGTTCTCTGGCTGTGTCTGGAGACACTCTGGGAGGAGGGCAGGGTATATTGACACAGCTCAAGCTCCTCATACCTGCAGCTTCAAGATGGAGCATCTTCCCTTGACATGAAGAAGGTTGAGAATTTCCGACCTTTTACTCTTGCTCTGCAATTGTAGTGTCTGCATCCAAGGATGTCTGTTTTCCAATGTCCACTGCTCCAGCTCTTATCTACAAGGTCCCTAATGCACACAGCAAGGCATGGAGTGGCCTTTAGACATAAACAGAGCTGGATCAAAGTGCAGCCTCCATCTCCGGAGCTAATATGTCTTTCTTTTACCATGGAACAAGTAAGTCGCAGAGGAAAAAAACTCCTCTCTCAAATTAAGTAACTCCATTTCTCACTGAGGCTGATGTCCAGTAGTCTCTGTGCCTCCTTGGCCATACACATTATTGTCTTTTTTAGGATCCACGTGTGCCTTGGGAAGTGTGGTCTGGAAAAGGTTCTTATATTGTGTTTGCTTGGCAGCAGCCACTTGAGGTAGTCTTTAATTGGAAAAATGTTTTGCTACCTTCTGGAAATTCTTGGAAGATACTTAGTGAAGTGAAACCTAAAAGTTTGTCCTTCAGGGATCAGCTGCAGCACTGAGAGTCCAGGAAATGCCTGCAGATTCAGGAATTTGGTAGAAAGTGGAAAAAACTCTCCAACATAGCTGTGTAGACACATACATGTGCGTGTGTAGACATATACAGGTATATCCCTTTGTGGTACAGGCACATACCTAGTGTGAGAGGGGAAGCACAAGAATTGCAGCCATTATATATATAGTTGTGCCTTCTTTATGAGTGTATCAGTGGTTGCATTTGCTTCTCCCAAAGGTACAGGACAGTGTTGTTTCCAGACGCAAGAGCATGCTCTGCAGCGCCAGCAGTTCTCACATGGAGTTTCTACAGTTCTGCTCGCTGTGACCTTCTGGGCCATCAGGGAAACACATCGTGTTCCTGCCAGCCTCGTGCGATGAACCATCACTTGCCAGGATTCACACCAGGCTTCCTGGGACGCTGTGTTGCTGCTTGGAATCCTGATTACTTCTGGTTGCTTACTGTGCTGCTGGCAGGGTGGGATTGATGTCCAGTTTGGCACATTGGGCAGAGCCAAGCCCATAACCGTTCTCTGTGTCCTTGGCAGACTGGGGAACCAAGCTAGACCCCTCTCTCTAAAGGGGTTCCAGGTGAGCAAGGGACAGGCTTGGTGCTGTCCATATTTATTCTGGTGGGAAAAGCCACCTCCTTCACCCTTTCCACCTGGGAACTGTGTAACTGCTGGGGATGACACCACATGGATGCAGGGCCAGCAGCCTGGTATCAAGGCACTAGCTGAGCTGAGCACTATCACAGGGCACAGAGCTGCCTTGGGGGGTGCCAGCATCCCCACCACGGCTGCACTCCAGGCATGTAGGGCATCTGGGCACAGGACGGGTCCTGTCAGCAATGGGCCGTCTGGATGACCATGCCAAGAGGAGGATTGTGGAGCTGCGCAGGGCTGGGCTGAGCTTCCGCAAGATCAAGAAGGTGCTGGAGCTGGATGACATCCGGGTGACGCCGCAGGCCGTGTACCTCTTCCTCAAGAGGAAGAGCGTGGAACCAGGGTCAGTGGCAGCTGGCTGGGATGGGGATCAGCCCTGGCCCCCACTGCAGGGGCATGAGGCTGAGCCCCCCAGGCTGCTGGGTACCCGGCACCCTGCACTGCCCACTGGGGATCCTATGGGCAGCCAGGTGCCCTGCTCTGCTGGCAGCCAGGACACCAAGGAAGGCATCCAGATTGTCGGTGTGGACTCGCTCTGCAAGGACGGTGGGCAGCTTGGGGACACTCTGCCTCTGGGGCTGGCCCCTGGGAATGGTAAGGCCTGGCCCCACTGGGGTTCACCATGGCCACTTCCTGGCACTGCTGGGTTCATGAAAGTGCCCCATTCTCCGCTGCCGAGGGCGTCCTTTTGAGGTGTTTCTCTCTCCATTGTTGCAGGTGATGACAGCTCCACAGGCAAAGCCCTGACTCCAGGGACTGCTCTGGGGGGCCCGCCCCCCCTGCCCCAGATACTGCCAGGCCAAGTGCAGCTGGTCACACCCCCGACCCAGAACTCAGCCTCGGTGGTGAAAAAGAAGACTCTGGACAGGGCTATCCTCCTGCAGAAAAGGGTAGGATGACAGGATGGGAGAGTCCATGTGCTCTGGCCAGGAGCTGGTGCCATCTGGGCAGCCCTGCACAGCACCCTGCTGCATCTACACCATGTGGTGGGGCAGGCTTCTAGGGGTGAAAGGCTCCCAAAGTGCCCCCAGCCTCTGCTAGCTGCACTCCCCAGCAGTGCTAACCCTGACACTTGGTGAATGTGTCTGGAAGCCCCTCTGGGTGGGGGTGAGGCCATGGGCCCACCCATTCAGCCAGCATTCACTGCTGGCCATGGAGATGCCAATCACTGCCAGGCTTGGCCTTCAACCAGCAGCTCACAAACCTCTTTTTAAGGCTTGATGTCAGTAGCATCTCAGGAAGTTCTTCCAGCCACCCAGGGCTGGAAAGCAAAATCTGGGAGATGTTGCTGTTTCTGTCCCTGCAGAGAGCAAACACAAGCCTAGCATCAGCATGGGCAGCCCCACTGCCATTCAGGAGTGCTCACCCAGGATGGATCAGCATGTACTAACAACATGGTGCCCCAGGGGCTCTGATGGAGCAGCAGCTTAGGGGCTCGGTGGGGCTGTAGCACAGCTTGTGGTGAGGTCTAGTGGTCCAAAACAAGGTGATGGCTTTCTCTGAGAGCTCTTCTCTGAGCCTTGTAGCTAAGTGCAGAATAAATCTCTTGTTAAATGACATTGAACGGGCAGCTTATAACATGTCACATTCCCTTCTCTCCTGCCTCCCACTATTCCAGGTCAAAGATGTCAGCACTCAGACTGCCTTGCCAAACCCTGTGGGTCCAGGACATCGCAACCTTGCTTGGGGTGGACCTGTGCCCCCCACTGCTCCCAGCTTCCCCAGCATCACTGAGAAGCTGGATGCTGTACAGAGGGAGGTGCAGAAGCTGAGCCAGGCCCTGCATACAGTGCTGGAGCGGCAGTGCAACCTGGAACGTCAGCAGGAGCACCAACAGCGGCTGCAACAGGAGGTGCTGATGACACTGCAGCAGCTCAGCTCCACTGTGAGCCATGGCTCTGTGCCAGCCACCCAGCCCTGTGGCCCCTTCAGCAGTGTGGCCGAGCCCTTGCCCACCATGCCGAACTTCAGCCAGTTCAAGATGGAGCTGATCTGAGCTCCTGCAATGCCTGCATGTGCCAGTGGTGTTGTGCTAATGGCAGGATGGAGCTGGGAGGAAGAACCATCGGTCCCTGGTGCCTTGTGTTCCCAGTCCCGCTGACTGAAAGGGGCTACCTGGCACAAGAGGCTGAATAGTGGAAGGCTGAGGCCTTGCTTCTCCTGTGCTTCATCCTGGCTGCCACTGGAGCTGGCTGGGACCCATAGACCTCAACAGAAGGCAGTTGCCTGCAAGAAGATGCAGCTAAGACAGACACAGCAGGGATGTGGAACTCCAAGGATAAAGGAGGCTTCCTTCTCATGAGGGTCAATGATGATCTTGCCCTCCCCTCCACACAACCTTTTTCGGTAAAAATCTCTCTGCGCCACAGTTCAGAACCAGTGTGGGATCAGTATCTACATTTTCCCTACCCCTTACCTGGACAGTGAGCAGGCTTGGTCTGTCTGGGTTACTATCACCATATGTGGAACTGCACAGGGTGCAGAAACCCATGAGGTGAGACCAGTGCTCCACGCATGATGATGTTGGAGCCTGGTATAAGCTGCTGCACCATTAGGGACAGATCAGACTGTAGGAAACAATCTTTTACTGAGCAGATTCCACCCTCCTCACCCCACAAACTCAGCAGATCTGTAGTGTGGTACTACTGTTGCCCACTGTCTGGTGAGAAATGGGCAGGACCATAACAGTAAGAGTTGCACCTGGGCAGGAGCGGACTAACTGGATGTTCAACTCTCCTCTGACCCATTTTCCTGGGCAGGACACCCTCCTGGTTGTGATCTCCAGTTGCAAGAGCTGTCCCTAGAGCAAGCTGCTGGTGGTGCACAGCTGCTCTAGCAGAACAGTGCATGATGCTGAGAACCCCCTTGCCTAGACAAGAAGGGCACAGGGGAGGTTGATGGGCCCTAACTGAGCAATGGAGTCCAGAAGGACCAGAGACTGGCCTTACCTGCCAGGAGGAAAGGTCTGATGGGGGTGGCCTTGGCTTAGCACCCAGCAATGAATCCTGAGAGGAGGCAGAGCATGTGTCTTTCCTCCACATCAGCCAAGCAGGCTTCTGTCTGAGTAGGCACCACACTTGGCACAACCTGTGCTTCTGAGAAGTCCCCAGCCTGTTTCTGAGGTCTCCTTGAGTCCAAGGTCATAATAAAGAAGAGTAAAAACCAATTCAGGTGTTTATACACAGACACCCACACACAGAGCTGTATGTGCACGCACAGATATAGATGCATGTGGCAGGTCTGTGCAGCAGTCCCAGTGCTGGACACCCCCTCTGCTTCCCTGAGACACATCGCTGGCCCCAGGGCTGTCAGACCCAGCTGTGCCCAGTAGCACTAGGAGTCTGCTGCCATCTGCCCGCGGTCATTCATTTCGATGTTGGTGTAATTTTGGGGACATCTGAAAAGCAACAGATGAAAAAGACACATGATCAGTTGCTCTGCTCTTCAGCGCACAAGGCAACTAATCTGCATCTCAGGTTTGAAAAGACGAAGCTGGATGACCAGCACTCAGCAGGCACAGTTTCCTAATGTCTCTGTCAACATTTTGGAGAAAAACAGAAGCAGAACAACTGCTATACCGTGGCACATGTACTTAAAACCACCCTGGTTTCTGAAAGAGCTTCCCTAAATCTGCTTTAGGCTATTTCTTAAATTATTTAAAAAAAAAAAAATAATAAAAAAATTAAAAAATAAATATATATACACTGTGGTTTTTATTCCCTAAATGTATTCTAAGAACTTCCTCATTTCTAACTCTTGCACATCATCCCCTTATCCAGTGCTTAAAAACCCAGTAAAAAATAATAAAAATAAATCACCTGGACTGGTGAAATAACCCATCCACTATAACATTTGTTTCAGACAGATGTACAGCCTGAGTGTTCAGCTGCAGTTTGCCTCCTGACCACATTAGGGAACACTAAGTTATTTAAAGTGTCACATTATAACATGGAAGGTGTTTCCCACCAAGGTAATGCTAAGATGTCTGTCACTTCCACTCTGCTCCAAGGAGGAGCTCCTCCCTCTGGCCACAGGATTGTCTTTTGTACCACATGCTTTCAGCTTTCTACTCTCCCCCCACAACATGTCAGTACCACTAATGGCCCTTACACTGCACTTGTTGACATGCCCAGCATCATCTAGGATTTACTGGTGTTATGTCAACTTCCTGCAGAACCTGCAGTCTGCTATGTCAGAAACAAAGGGCTTTGCAAAATGGAAGGGACTTAGCTGGAAAGATGAGGAGCAGCATATTGAACGGTCTGAAGGCAGTGTAGGTGTTCATCTGAGGGAAGGAGCAGGTCTCTGCAGCAGTTAGAGAGGAGGCCCTGGGGAAGGAAAGGGTGAGGGATGCACAGCAGTTACAACGGTGGTTTCTCACCTTTTGATGCAATAAAAAGCCAGGCCAACCAACAATAACAGGAACATGAGAAATCCCATGACAAACAGGGCAATTTCCCAGCCCTGGAAGGAAGCTGAGGGAACAAAGGCAGAGAAGAGGCATTATAGCCATGACCTTTCCCAGCACAGGGCAGGCCCTAGGAGGTCACACAGTCAGAGTCACAGAATGGGTTGGGTTGGGTTGAGTTGAAGGAATCTTTAAAGGCCATCTAGTCCAACCCCCTGCCATGGACAGGCATACCTTCCACTATCCCAGGTTGCTCCAAGCCCCACCCAACCTGTCCTGGAACACTTAGAGGGATGGGGCAGCCACAGCTTCTCTAGGCAACAACAGTTGGACTGTCACAACCTCCCACTCTTTTTTTCCCCTGCTACACCTCCTGTGCCATCCCAGCTCTGGACAGTTCCAGCCTGGGTGCCAGTAGCTGCTCCCAGCAACTGGGCCTCAGGGCTTCCTGGCAAGAAGCTCCCTGCTGAAGCCCAGTGGCTTGCCCAGACATGCCCTCTCCTGTGGAGATGTGGCCTGACCCTGGTCCCAGCCCTGCTCACTGCTGGAAGCAGAGTCCTTCCTACTTACCACCACCATGTGACATGAATGGCATATTTTTGGGGGTGACACACTTGGGACTGGTTTTCAGAACTTCCTCATCCATGGAGAAGGCATGGAGGCTGGCCAGGAATCCCTGGAGATAAGTTTTGATATACTGCTCCTGCTCTGGCTGCTGAGCCCACACCTGGCCCCAGACCTTAACTGGTAAGCCCACACATATGAGGTTAAGCTCTACCAAGAAACAACAGTGCATTTTGGGTGGTCAGAAACCCTCTGGTATCAGGGATCACATTGCTCCCATGACTCTGTGCCCTCCTGCTCTCATGCTCTTCACCTTTCTCTTCCCCACTGCTCTGAAATCATGCTGCCATGCTGCATCACAGGTAACTTAAGCACATGCTTAACCTTTCTTTTGGTGACAAAGAGACTTGAGGTTGTCATCCTACCCAACAGAATACTTTTTACTATACTTTTTACCTCTACTCACTGGTCAGAACTGACTGAAATTGTTCAACTGGTCAAAAAGGCATTTGGGTGAGGGAGACAGAGCATAGCAACAAAGTCTTCTCTTCCTTACAAAACCAGCCAAAATCCAGGGAACATTTTTCCTATCCCTCAAAAGCTGTAGTCCCTAAGGCTTCCAAAAGTGACTATTTGGTCTGGGTACTTTGAATACATATAGGAGTTGGGAACCAAAGTCCTCTGGACTGCAAAGGGCTGTTTGCTTTGTGGGTTTAGGTTTGTCTGGCAGACACCACAAGCATCAGCAGAGACTACCATTCCTCATGGTAGGTCTGCTCCCCTCACTGAAATCCCACTGTTCCTCAAGGTCCTCTCACTCCAGTGCCAGCAAGTAGGGTGGGTTGAGCAGGGATTGTCCTAATGAGGCAGCTGTGGATGAGCAATTACAACAATTGAAATGGGCATGGTGAGCTGGGTACTAACCTTGCGGGTACAGGTCAGAGACACTGCAGGAACGCTCCTCCTCCAAGGAGTTCACCAAGACCCTTCCCAAACTTTCCAGCATCCTCCTGTGGTGCAGGGTCTACATGGAACAGTCTTGGGAAAAAGGAGATGGGGTTTTTCTGGGTACAGTTTAGGACTGATAGTGAGCTCCTGGCTATGTGCCCCTTCCAAAACACTTGGCTTCATTCCACCCTCTTCTGCCTCCCACTCTCCTCTGCCCTCTCTTTCTGGATGAGTTTTTACTTCTGGCCTTCTACCACTGTACACCAGCTTGGCTCCTTTGGCCTTGCAGGGAAGTGGGGAAGGGGCATGTCTCACATCTCACCACAAGGGCAAGTACAGAGCAGTCTCTCATGCTGGGAAAGGGAGAGGCCCACTCTTGCCCGTGTCAGGAGGATGGAAGAGGAATTTCCATCTGTTGGCTAGTGCATGTTGATCCAAGTGTGGTCTTGGCAGAGGCTGGAGACCCCCCTATACATTTCCTTGCTGGCTCTGGGTCAGGGCTGAGATGCAGGAATTGGTTTCCACAGATGGGCTGAGATGGGAGAGTTTGCTGGCAGTTTCCCTGACTGTGCCCCCACCACTATGAAAGAGACCTGGAGCAGGGGGTTCCTGCCATTGCTGCAGATCTAACCCTGCAGAAAGAAATCTTGATCTGGGCTCAGCCTGGCCTGAACAGACAACTCAGATGAAATACAAGGCCTCTTTCATATCATAGGATCATCATAGAATTGTTTGAGTTAGAAGGGAGTTTAAATCTCGTCCCACTGTCCCGGTTTTGGAAGACAGGTGTCTGCTAGGGAGGGCAGGAGCCTCCCTTGGAATGAAAATGTAGACACTCTCCCTCTGAATTATTATAATTTTGAGAGGAATGACGGGTTTGTCTTTACAAACAAGCTGTGGGTCTGCTGATAAGATGAAACTATCACTGAGAGACAACAGAAACAATGGGATAGATTCTACTGATCGAGTGAAAGATGAAAGGGACACTGGGGAAACACCATGAATTCCACAAGAGTTAAGAATTAAGAGGGGGGGTTATATATTAGAGGGGAAACCTTAGGTATTAGGCATTCTGGGAAGTCTATGCCTCTCAAGTACCTCAGCCTATGGGGAAAGAAAGAAGGGACATGCACCCAGGAAATTAGGATAAAAAGGAGGCTACGCCCTCCAAAACTTTGAGAGACCCCAGGGGAATATCCTATGGCCTCTCCCTTTATTCGAATAAAGTAAAAAGACTCCTCTGTCTCCTTTTTGGACAGGAGAGGTTTACTCTGGCGTTTGTGGATTAATTTTCCTGACAATTTTTGGGGGCTCGTCCGGTATATTTCCACCATCGGAGGCGGCGGGCAGCGAGCGCAGCTGAAAGCGCCTCACACAGTTTCAGTGATCAGCTCCCCTTGGTGGCAGCAGCACTGGGCAACCGACTGGGTTCCCGAGATTTTCCAGGAGACAGACGAGTGGCGGACCAGGGGGGTCTGTGAACCCCTTCAGGGGTTCCTTCCCTGTGGAAGGACCACTGAAAATCTCACTGGTGAGTAAAATGGGATCTTCGGGGAGCAAGCCTGGGAGGGCACTCAGAGAGGGTAGCACAGGTAAAATAAGGCACCCATGGAGGGTTACAAGGGTACAGCCAGGAAGGGACCCCTGCAAAAGCGATGACGATCCCAAAATATCTCCAAAGAATCCCTTGGAAGAACATGGAGTTGATTTACACATTCTCCCACAGGTAATTAAGGATATAGGCACCTAAAGGGGGCAATAAGGGAAAATCGAGTAGGGGTCTTGACACTCCATGCCCAAGGGGGGCAATAAGGGGAGTTGAGAAGGGATCTCGAGAATCCACGCCCAGGGGGAGGGCAATAAGGGGAGTCAAGAAGGAGTCTTGACAACAGGGGATGGACAGATCGTGTTGTGTTGGAATAGCATTGGTTAAAGAGGAATGTGGAGAGATATGGTTGAGGCAAGGACCAGGTGCAGAGATGCCGGACCGGGAGCACGGGCTGGGGGTCTGTGGGGCTGCTGGTACTCAGCGCCGGGCAATGCCTGACCCCACCAGCCCTGGGCAAGGGCAGCAGTGGCCGCTGGCCCCTTGAGGCTGCAGGACACCCTGGCCACCTGTGGTGCTGCCGGCTGTGCCCACCAGGAGCGCCGGAATGGGGAGGAGCTGTTTGCACAATGTGGCAAGACAGAGACTGGATCTGGTATTCGGTGTGTGGTAAATAGAGTGAGCACAAGGAGGAAAGGCAAAGGTGATGGCAGAATTTTTCTGGCCCAAGAGGGAAAAACCACAGGGCCCAAAGAGTCCCCTAGGACAGAAGGGACAAGGCTGGCCACAAGGAAGTGGCAGAGGCGTTCCTCCCCAGCAGGGGAGACCCGACCCGGACAGTGATTGGGAAAAATCAGTGTGCTGTCTGCAGGGCAGAAGAACACTAGGAATGGCACTGTCCGCAAAAACAGCTGGACTGTCGAGGAAGTCCAGAAGATAAGAGAAATGCATTGTTTAGAGTGTCAAAGGATCTTATTGTACCAGGAACCCACCAACCTGGAGCCTTTGTTAACTTTTAAAGTGGGTCTGGATCGAGAGGAGGTGTGTGTCTTAGTAAAAACAAGGACCTCTCAATCCACCCTAATTTTTATCCCTGAAGGTTAAAAATTGTCTAAAGAATTTTTTTGATTGTTCAAAGGAGTTCTGAAAATTGTGGTTTCTTCTGTGGGCTCAGAGGTTTGAACACATCTCTCTCTGAA